ATTCAATGCTAGATCTAAGGTCATAAAGATTTATTCTGTTTTCTTCTAATGAGTTTTTTAAAATAATTTTTTATTTTTCAATTACAGTTGGCATACAATATACTAGTTTCAGGTGTACAAAAGAGTGGTTAGACATTTATATAATTTAGGAAGTGATCATCTCAATAAATCTAGTACCCATCTGATATAATACATAGTTATCACCATATTATTGACTATATTCCTTATGCTACAGTTCACATTTCCATAACTATTATGTAACTATTCATTTTTATTTCTTAATCCCTTCCCCTTTTTTACCTACTCCTGCAAAACCCCTCCTATCTGGCAATCATCAAATGTTCTCTGTATCTATGAGTTTGTTTCTGTTTCATTTTTTTATTTTGGTTTGTAGATCTTGCATGTAAGTGAAATCATATGATATCGTCTTTCTCTGTCTGACCTGCTCCACTCCACATAATACTCTCTAGGTCCATCTAGGTTGCTGCAGATGGAAAACTCTCATTTTTTTTTTTTTTATGGCAGAATGATATTCCATTATATACATATACCACCTCTTATTTATCCATTCATCCATTGATGGACACCCAGGTTTCCTCCATATCTTGACTATTGTAAATAATGCTGCAGGAAACACATGGATGTACATGTATTTTTGAAGTAATGTGTGAATTTCTTCGAATCAATACCCAGAAATGGGATTACTGGGACTTGTCTCTTGTTATAGACTTTGTTTTAAAGGCTATTTTGTCTGGTATTAATATAGCTACCCCAGCTTTTTATTTCTTTATTTCCATTTTATGAAATATCTTATCCATCCTTTTACTTTCAGTCTGTGTGTGTTTTTTTATCTGAGGTGAGTCTCTTGTAAGCTGCACATGTAAGGGTCTTGTTTTCTTATTCATTTAGGCACCCTATCTTTTGAATGGAGCATTTAATCTATTTACATTTAAAGCAATTGTTGGTAGATATATAGTTATTGACATTTTATTATTCTTTTTCATTCCAGTCCTCCTCTTCCTCCTCCTCCTTTTTTCATCTCTCTAATATTTCTTGCAATACTGGTTTGGTGGTGATAAAATCCTTTAGCTTCTTTTTGTCTGGGAAACTATCTCACCTTCAATTTTAATTGATAGCCTCGCTAGGTAGAGTAGTCTTGATTGTAGGTCCTTGCTGTTCATCACTTTGAATATTTTGTGCCAATCTCTCTGGTCTACAAATTTTTTGTAGAGAAATCAGTTGACAGTCTTATAGGAGCTCCCTTGTAGGTAAACTAACTGCTTTTGCCTTGCTGCTTTTAAGATTCTCTTTTTGTCTTTAACCTTTGGCATTTTAATTATGGCATGGCTTGGAGTGAGCCTGTTTGGGTTCATCTTGTTTGGGACTCTCTGAGCTTCTTGAGATTATATACCTATTTCTTTTGCCAGGTTAGGAAAGTTTCCATCATTTTTTCCTCAAATAGGTTTCCAATTCTTTGCTCTCTCTCTCTTCTTCTTCTGGTATCTCTATGATGCAAATGTTAGTATGCTTGATGTTGTCCCAGAGGCCCCTTAAACTATCCTCATTTTTTTTTTTTGAATTTTTTTTCTTGGTGCTGTTCTGATTGGGTGTTTTCTGCTACCTTATCTTTTGAATTACAAATTTGATCGTCTGCTTCATCTAATCTACTATTGATTCTCTCTAATGGATCCTTCATTTCAGTTACTGTATTCTTCATTTCTGACTGGTTCTTTTCATGTTTTCTATCTCCATTTTTATGTTTTCTATCTCTTTGTTAAATTTATCACTGAATTTTTCTACTCTTTCTCTAAGTTCATTGTGCATTCTCATAATCAGTGTTTTGAACACTGTATCTGATAGATTGCTTGTCTCCATTAGTTTAGATTTTTTTTCTGAAGATTTGTTCTCTTTCATTTGGAATATGTTTTTTGGTCTCCCCATTTTGCCTGCATCCCTGTGTTTGTTTCTAAGTATTAGGTAGGGCTGCTATGTCTTCCGGTTTTAGTAGTGTAGCCTTATGTAGTAGGTATCCTGTAGGGCCCAGGTGCACCTGGGTTGGGTGCTCCAGGTATGCCCCTTTTGTGGGTTGTATGTGTCCTCCTGTTATAGTTGAGCCTTGGTTGCTGTTTGCATGTCAATGGGAAGGACTGACTCTTAGTCTGATTGGTTGTAAGCACCGGCTAATGACTATAGTGGAAAAGCTGTTATGCAGAGGTTGACCTTAGGGTCAGGATTTGCTTCAGCAGGGCTCTGCTGCCTTCTCAGTCTGTCATCCTCAGATGTGTCCTTGCATGGTTCTCCAGTTTTATCAGAAGCTAGTCCCAGGACAACCTGAACAGGGTCCCTCTGGCAGGGCTGGTTTAGCCTCAGCCTGTGCCCTGTCTGAGGCCACTTGGCATGACCCACCAACACTGGGCTTAGAAGTGCCTACGGCAGCCGACCATGAACCGAGGCCAGCTGCCGCTAGTGCCAGATTTGGAGCTGCTCAGCAAGGGGTATGGGGTATGCTGAGGCCAGATGCTGCTTATCTGAGTTTTGCGTACCTTTGAGAGACTTTAGGAAATTCTGCAGCATGAGCCAAGACAGGACATTTGTATGGAAAAGCTACTAGAAGTGACCTGGGTGGGCTTACAAGTAAGGTGGTACAGAGTCTAAGGAAATCATTAGGTTGGGGCAACCAGTGTTGGCAGGTTGATGGAGATTCAAATATGGCAGCTTCCTGCATCTGTACACCAGGACCAAAGAGGGCTCAATGAAAGAACAATGAATTCTGCCAATACTTCTGTCTGGGAGAAAGCTGCTCTTCAAGTCTTACCCTGAAGCCAAACAATTTAGTTCTTCCCTGCTGTCTCTGGTATTTTTCATGCTGCTGCCCTAGTTCTGAAGCTCAGAGTGAGTGAGTCTGTCAGTGAGTAAGTCTGCATATGGCCCCTTTAAGAGAAATGCCTGGGACTCTAGCAGCCACAATTTTCTCACTCAGCCACAATTTGCTGTGAGAAACAAATTGTGGGAAGTCCTCCTTCCAGCACTGGAATCTTGAGCTGGGGAGCCCAGTGTAGGACTGGGGCTCCTTTCTCTTCTGGGGATACCTCTGCAGTTGAGATATTCATCTTGATGTTTAACCCCGCACGCAAGTTTGAGTATAGCCCATTCCATGTCTCTGCCCCTCCTACCAGTCTTGAGGTGGCCTCTTCTGTATGTAAGTTGTAGGACTTTTGTTCAGTTAGACTTCAGGCGATACTCAATGATGGTGGTCCTGTAGATGAGTTGTAATTTTGATGTGGTTGTGAGAGGACGCAAGCACAGATACCATCCACTCTGCCTTCTTGACTGGAAATTTTAAAAATTGTTTTGTAGTTTTAGATTTTATATTAATGTTTTGTATCTATTTGAGTTAACTGTTGTGTCTAGAGTGAGGAAGGGGTCCTATTTCATTACTTTGCATGTGGTGGGCTTCCAGCTATACCAGCATCATTTGATGAAGAGACCTCTGTTTTCTCATAGAATAGTCTTGGCACTTTTGTTGAAAATTAATTGTCTGTTGGTGTTTTGAGTTTGTTTCCGCACCCTTAATTTTATTCTACTGGTCTGTATCTCTATCCTTATGCCACTACCACACTGTTGTGATTAATGTAGCTTTGTACTGTTTTGATACTGGAAAGTCCACCAACTTTGTTTTGCTTTTTCAATATTGTTTGGCGATTTGGAGTCTCTCTGCAATTCCATATGAATTTTAGGATTGATTTTGCAATTTTTGCAAAAAAATGCCATTTTGGACTTTTAACAAGTATTGAATTGAATGTATAGATTGCTTTCGGGGTTATTCTCATCTTAACAGTACTGTCTTCAAAGCCATGAATATGGATTTTTTTCATCTAATTAGTTATTTTTTAATTTCTTTCAGCAATGTTTTATAGTTTTCAGTGAACAAGTCTTTTACTTATTTGGCTAAATTTATTTCCAGGTATTTTTCTCTTTGGGATGATATTGTAAGTAGAATTATTTTTAAAATTTCTTTTGAATTATTCATTGCTTATGTTGAGAATAAAACTGATTTTTTTTGCATTAACAATAAGAATAGCTAACAATTATACAGCACATATTAAATATCAGGGATGTTCTAAGAGCCTTACACATGTTTATAGCCTCAAAGCACTATAGTAACTTGCTATTGCCTATAAGATAAAGATAAATTATATTGACACAGCTTATAAGGTCTTTCTTATCTAGGTCTCAAATTATACTTCTGTCTGCATGTATCTCCACTGACATTGAAACAGCTCACTGTAACCAAACACATTATATTCTTTCATCCCTTGATGTCATTTCATTACATAATCTATCATTTTTTGGCTAGGATTTTTGTCCAGTATCATTTGTCTGGGAATCTCCTACTCATTTTTCAAGATTTAGATCAAATGTTAACTCAGCTACTTAATCAGTTCTTCTAGAGATGATCCATGTTGCTGTTTTCTATAACAACTTGTATATGCTTATTTTTTTTTAATGCCTTCATCTTATGATACCATTATTTTTTTCTGCTTATTTTGTTGCCCTCCACTATATCGAGCTAGTTGAATGCAGGAACTATATTTTACATGTATTTGCATCTCTTGGGCCTAGTGCAGTATCCAGGATAGTATATTCTCAATAAAATTTTCCTAAATGATTGAATGAGCCAAATACACAAAGGTAACCTACCTTGTCACGAAATGAGCTTAGCCTATTTCCTATATCCAAAGAGCAGTGACCAGATTCTCCTGAAAGATTTACATCAAGAAAATTAAATATATGGAACACAGTTATAGATGTAAATGAGGGGGATTCTTTCTCTCTCCTTCCTTCCTTTCTTTCTCTAACTTAAAGTACTAAGATAATTTTTTGTTTACCTAAAACAACACACACCACACATTATTGATGTATCAAGAAAGATAATGCTCTTGAAAGTACACTATAAAACATAATGTGCTATACAACAAAGTGTGTAGTTATTCACTCACCAAATACAGTTCTTGCAGGCACAGATTCTCTGTTAAGCCAGAATGACACTTGGGAGAGAATGACAGTCATGATGCAAGGCAGATATGTCTGAATCACAAAATACCCAATTTTTCTTTTCAAGTGGAAATGAGCTGTCATTACAGTATATTCACCTAGAAGAAAAATTTAAGTAGCTTAAGAAATAATAATAATCAAAAGTTTGCACATTTTGGAAATATAAAGGATTATACAAAGAAAAGTTTCTGATTTTAAAAAAGAAATAATTTATCACATATATGACATGAAAAGTTTATAACATTTAAATATCAGCATAGCAAGAATGTTTAAAAGAGAGTCTTACTATTAACAAGAAACTTGCATTACATTTCTGTGGTATGGCATTTGCTTTTCTCTCTAGATCATACTTATTTATCAAAGGGTACAGGATTCATAAATTGTTCTCTGGCCATAAATTATTTTACCTACTCAGGTCCTTCATCCCCACTGGTGCCAGCCTCAAGTTCAATTCTCTCTGACTCTTTAAGTGTCACTTTCTGGCCACATAACCAAGACTGATTTTATGACCCAGATTTTCCACTTTTGACCCTGTCACCAATTCTAAATTTTTCAATGTCGTATGTCTGCTCTTATTCACCGCAGTCAGTTTTTTTCCATCCTCAAAGGTAACTTCCTTTCTGCTCTCTGGGTTTACATCTGCCAGATGTAATCTCATTAGTCCACACAGCTGCTTTTTCTTAGACGAGGCCCTTAGAAAGGACATCAGTTTTCCCGTGTAGGCCAGTAGTAATTATCCATAAATTAAGAGTTCAATATGTACTAATGCAATATACAGATGATATATTATCAAATTTTACACATGAAATCCATATAATTTTATTAACTAATGTCACCACAATAAATTTAATAAAATAAAAAAAAACACTAACAAAAGCACTCTTTAAAAAAGTTGAATAATCAATTATAAATTATCCAAATGGGGGAAAGAATTAGAAATTAGGAAAATTACGACATTATTTGAAGATAAAGTTGATGTCTGAAGAGACATACTTTTTGAATATAAAGTGTATTTTAGACTACTGTTGCTCAAACATTAATGCACATCTTGGCATCTCCTTGGAATCTTGTTAAAATGCAGATCCTGACTTAGTAAGAGGTCCAGCCTGAGATTCGGAATTTATAAAAAGCTCCTAAGCACAGTTTATGCTGCTAGTTCTTGGACCTCAACTGCAAAAGGTTTTAAGCAAATTGATATGTTCCCAGGTACTTGAACCCATTAGTTTTCTTAAGAACTAGCTTTTCTTTGGACTCATTTTACTAACCTGTACTGGATTTAATTGTCTCCTTCCCAATTGATTGTCCCAACAAATCATATTGATTTAACCTGGAGCCATCAGGAGCAACTTGTACTGAATCAGATGCATTATAAGTCCAAATATAAGTGACTTCCGAGGTTGTATATGCATCTGTAGGAAATAAGAAAAAATATTTTTATTACTTTAGTAAGAACCATCAACAAAGTGCAACATTAAATGTTATATATTTCATACAATCATTGCTAACCAAAAAAAATCATTGATATTTACAGATTACATTTTTTAGGGTAAAAGTGCCTGAAATTTACAACTTCAAAATGAAGGATATAAGGCAGACAAAAAGAGATAATCACAATTATGAAAGTGTTTTCATTGCAACCATTTTGAGAGTGGAGAGCAAATTTCTCTTTAGAGCTTGCAAGAATCATTGGACACTGAGAAGGTTAAAACATCTCCTATAGTCTCAAGGTGGCAGATGAAGACATTGTGGTAAACAGGTTATGAATGCCCATAGCCCAGTTAAATAATTTAGAAATAGCGATCACTTATGAAATGCTAATCATAATCCACAATATTGCTTTCAAGACATAAAGTAATTTAGTTAATAATTAAGTGACTTAGGTATCGTGAAACAACGTATTTCATTAGAAGAACGAGTACTAATTATTGCACAACATGTAAAATAAATGAGAATGCTATAGTTTCCTCAAGTTGTGAATACTTTTGAAAGCATTTTCATTTTAAAATGAATACACACAGATCTTAATGGACTCTACTTCTATTGCATCCTAGATGAGCTATGAATTGGTAGAAAGAGACAAAAGACATACAGACCAGGTATAATTTCCTGTTTTACTTGGCCAAGGAGAACTTAGCAGAATTGAGATGACTCTAGACCAGAGGAGCAAGAAGCATGTCTTCTCTTAGTTGTTCTCTGGCCCTGCCTGGCATTTCCTTTGCGCCTGAATGTCCTGATCGGGGAGTAGCTGGCCTCTCATAAAGTCTCTCCACAGTTGAAAAAAACAGACAACTCTTGCTACTTTACTCATCTTGTGGAAAACAGCTATGCACTTTTGCTCATGGGAGTGTTTAGAAATATCAGTTATAACTGGTCCTTGAGCAATACTCAACACCATGGTCTCATTTTCAATTAAGGGAGAGAAAGGACCAGGTATCTGGCAATATTTCTGCCTCTAGCTATCTAGGACACTGGGAAGCTTACTTCCTTTATGTCTACAAATTTTAGTTTAAATTGTGCTGAGATGGTCCGGGTACTTACCTTGATTCATAATCTGCGATCATAAATTATTTCCCACTTAATCATCAGTAATGATAAAATGAATGGGTCTTACTCTCTGTGTAGTCTTTTAATGGTATACTACAATGTTGCCTGGTTTTCTGATGGTCATTAGTAAATGTTCATATTAATGAAATACAGATTTCCTTGTATATGTATTCACCTAAATTTACAAGTAAATTATTGAAATAGGATTAAAATGTATGTGCATATGTATATATGTGTATATATGTATATTAAAAGCAAGATATATTGATATAGTTTGTATATGAATAAATTCTAGTTAGTCTAAAGATTCAATTTTTATTAATTTCAACTAGTTAGTCATTGATGAGTCTGCTAAGATTAAACAAGTAATATCAGAAATGTGGATAACTAGCAATTCATTTGCAAATCATCAAATTGTTCATTTTGTTCTCCCATGAATACATATCATGGCCCTCTTTTCAATAAAATTCCAAATGTCACAGAATTTAATAAATCAAGGACACATTAATGTGCCACTTTATATCAGAAGGCCTCACATTTTTCAAATAGTTGTGAATTCTAATAAATTATAAATCTTTTTAAAGAATAATTGCAACACCCTTTTTGATTTTCATGTTACTTTTAAATATAAATAAAATAAAATGAAACACTACAAATCTGATGAACTTTTAAGAAACAAGAGAGACAGTGATGCGCAGGGACTCTGTCTGATTCGTGGATATATTTCTAGCCTGACACACACATAAAAATTCTTAAATCATTCTTACCAGATTAGTAAATAAACTAATAATATTTAGCTATATACTCTTATAGAAGATGTAAATCTAAATAGCAGCCTAATAATATATTAAAGAAGATGACTGATCCTTTTCATGTCTTTTATAAAAAAGCAATTATTGTATTTCTTTAGTTGTACAGGAATACACTTTTTAGATTTGGAGTCTGGAGAGAGCAGATTTAGCACAAAGTTATGCAGTGAGGATTAGAAGCACTCCCTGGTACACTATTACACATACAAACCGGGAGGCCATTACAGTTTTTCTCAGTAAAGTATAAAAGGAGAGAAAGACAGTATGTTTTATAAATTTCATTATAAATTCTATCTCTAAATTAGAATTTCATTAAATAATTTTAATTCTGTTAAGGGACCCATCTTTTTTTTTTAGTACTGTTCTGTGTTAAACATCAACTGCATGCTGACTGCTTGTTAATATTTGGTAATTTAACTCCACAATATTTTTTCATTATTAATTTTCATTAAAAAAGATAACTTTCCATTTATTTAAGGTTAATGCACAGAATACACCTAGATGCCCTTTCAGGAAGTTTTAGTCAAGTTAAACAACAAAGGAATATGTGAAAATATGAGACAATTAGAATTAAACAAAACTGAATTCAAAATTATAAACTTATAGGAAAAATGCTTTTTTTATTTGAGGACAATGATAAATTTCCAAAAACTCCATCATTTTGGGGAATATAAAGGGGATTTTAAAGAAGATAGGAATAAATTACTAGAAATGAAAGTCATGACTGCTTCCGCCAAAATTTGCTGTGCCAAAATCTTGAAGTTGAGGTTGGCTCATTAGTTTAATATTCCATGCAGTTATTCATATTTTTAATACTTACACATCAAGCACCTATGTCGGTAAGAATAAATAAACGAATTACAAATAGTTTATTCAATGTCAGAAAACAAACAAAGAAAACTAAGTAAAAAACAGAGAATGCCTAACAACAAACTTTATGTATCACCCATATCATTTCTAGATAGACAACCATATTCTCAAGCATGCAATATTCCACTACTCTGTTGACACACTATAAAGTATTTTTGCAATTTCACTTAAAATGATTTCAAGTGTATTTATTTCATATTCAGTATTGAGACATCACATCATTTATATTTGGTATCTTAATAGCACTAACTTGTCCACTGAAAAATGCCTTTCCTTCTTACATCATTACTGCATCATGAATAAATCCTTTCTTTGGTATCAAATTTTCAATTTTCTCTTTAATATCACTTATGCAATGCAAATGAGTTTTTCTTTGCTACATCTGCTATAGTTTTTTTCCGCATCATATTAACGTTGTATAACATAATTGGCTCTCTTAAATAATTTTGGAAGAAATGCCAGTATTGAAGTGGTGGTTTCCATGACAATAAAAAAGGGCTTTGTAGTCAAACAAAGAAGCAATTCTCAATGAAAATAGAGAGCTGACACCTTCTGAAAGAATGAACTGAACAAACAAGATTAAACTTCTCCTTTCACAAAACTATGGTCATCAAAATAATTAGAGGGTTTTACATTCATATTAGCCATCATTCTTCCTTTTTCTTTCACTCAGTATAGTCTGTGGGGAAAAAACACCCTACTTAGACAGAAATATTTTCAATCAGGTTAGAGAACTGCATTTCTATTCAAGAGATGAAAAAGTCAAAAGCTGCCCAAAATGGACAAAGATGGGAGCGCCAGAAAGAGCAAGTTTTCTGAAAAGGTCAGGCAATGGGACACGCTCACATAAGAAAGACACTGTTTAGTAGTGTCCATGAATTTATCCTGAGCTTGCCCTGAATGCCTTGTGGGCCTAGGGAGATGATCTGACCTTCCTTCCCTCTTTTCAATTATTCTGGGAGAGTGAATGCTTCTGCTTGACATACAAGATATAACCTCAGTGACTTAAAGATGGTCAAATGCACAGAGCCATTTTGAAAATATTCTATATACAAAGAAGGTGCCTGCATATAGCAATCCAGCTACATCGTCTCTTTCAAATTTATTTTAGGAAATTAAAAAAAAAAAACTTTCATTAGTTAGAAAGTAAAAAAAATAATTGCACAGATCCAACATCTGTGCTTGCCATTTGCAACAATATGATAGGTACTTTAATAAACAGTAGACTCTATCCTTTATAATTCATTCTTATTTGACAAAAACAAAACTTCTATTTTGCATTTTTAATGTGCTATACTTGGCAAATAAGGTAAATGACATTGTCCTGACCTTCAAGGAGCTCTTGGCCTAGTTTTACATATTTACAAAAACACACTTTTTTTTATTAGCAATAAAGTAAGTGATAATTTAAACAGCATGATTAAAATACAATGATATTTGAGACTAAAACAGGGTTAGCCAAATAGTTCTGTGAGCGAAAGCAGCATGTCTTTTACTTCTGTATCTTATTAGGCAGGTATTAAGCATTCCATATGAGAAGAAATTATAAAATAAAGCAGTGCTGCTGACTATCTTTGATATTATTGCCCCAAAACATGTGACTTAATTTCCATACTTACAGCTGCCAAATTTGAGAGGACATGAATGAGCATCCATTGGAAAATCCTCCAAGTGCATTGGACATTCAGCTTGAACTGTAAGCCTAAAAGCCAAAATTCCACTCTTTGTTTAAGTAAATTGGCAAGTCAAGATAAATCACTCCTTATTGTTGACAATAGAATTAATGAAGAGGCAGGACCTTCATTATAGCATCTTTTTTATATTTACATGACCACAATAAAGAGTAATCATAACAAATTTGTTATAAAGTTTCAAGTATTCCATTTCACACAAAGGTAGAGTGGATAAAACAGGTACTAAACTCACAGAAGAATCTCATAATAAGCAAAACGAATGTGGCCAACAATTTATTTAGAGCTTATACACTTCTAAGAGTATGTTTAAGTAGAACTCCGTGCAATAATTTCCAAAACTCTATGTATTCTTTGCCTATATTTACTTAAATTCCAAATCTCTAATCATTGTCTTAATCCACAGGAATGATCAAAGTGTATAAAATTACAGGGATACTGGCTCTATATTGTAAGTTTCAGAGAGAGAGAGATCCATAAAGAATAGCTTATACTCCATTTTAGGCAATGGTCATTTAGTAATGAGTCTTCAAAATTTTTTCCTTTAAACATCAGAAATATATTATTGTCTCTTCTTAAATAATTTTTACAATTGAAATCTACTACAACATTTCATATGATATAATATTACATGAAAGTTATCCATGTTTTAAAGCCTTCTTAAACATTTTAATTTTAGAGTATATGTCCTTTTATTAAATTTGAGATGATTTTCTTTGTTACATAATACGAGAAACTTATTTTAAAAGATTAATTCGTGGAAATAGTTAAAATGAAATAGTAATTAGTGTCAACAACTATATATCCTTTTTATAATTTTTTAAGGTTGAAGAATTAAAATTGATGCTACATGACTTTTTAATTTACAAAATGGCAATGTCATATGGTTCAATCTAATACATAGTATTAGACTGATATCCAATTTACTTGTAAGCCTTATTAAATAAAAACTACCTTTGAATTTAAAAAATTATTTTTTCTTTAGAATAACTTCATAAAGAGGATCACAATATTAAATGAAAGCTTGCTAAAAAATTACTTAAACTTTTGATAGGTTATCTTATGAGATATTAAAAATAAAGTACATGCTGATACAAAGAAAATTTTGTCATGCCATTAAATCCTGCTTAAAAATGTAGTGCAAAAAATAAATAGCCAAAAATTTTTTAATAATTAAAGCAATTATTAAATTTTTAACATACTAAGATAAGAATCAAGCTCATAAATACTACTTTATCTTCACTTTTTTAAATATGCAAGCATTTACAAAGCATATTATAGATACTTTAGTGAGTTGTTATGAAAATATTCAACTTGTGCTAATACTTGACCAGTCTTTTAATAAATTAATTTGTCAGTATTTAAATGCAGCATACTAAACTAAAGACATACCTCATTGTGTACAGAAGAGTGCCATCATCCTGTATTCGAAGAAGCTTATTTGGCATTGTCATATTATGAGCTACCGATTTCTTCCCATTGTGAAAAAAGGTATCTGGAGTCCAAATTTTGCTAGCCATTAAATTGTTCAGTCGAAGGATGTTCATAGGACCTTTAAATTTTAACCGTTCATCTTTCCATTTTTGTCGAAAGAAAACATCTATTGTATATTCCTGAAATATAAAATAGCTCTTTTAAAAATAAATGTTTTAGATACAAGAATCATAAAACTCCAACAAAAATCATAACAGAGTTTAAAAAGAGAGAGATATATTGAGAGAAGTAAATTTTGAAACAGAAAGATCATTCCTTTCTCTTTTCAATAAATGTTGCCACTTATGGGATAAAGCATGTGTATGTGCACAATTAGCTACACAATATTATGAAAAAAATAAATTTACTTTCCCTGGTCTCTTTCAGTTAAAAAAAAAAAGTCTGATTCAAACTGCTTTACTGTATTCTATAGTTTAGAACTACTTGGAGAAGGAGCGTGCTTAGGGGAGTGTTTGGATAGACTGTGTTAAGTCATTTATCTCAGCAGCAAGAAAGAAAAAAAGAAAAACTATTAAACACACTGTCAGATCTGTATGAGTCATCATCTGTTGCCAAAGAAATTGTACAATATCTTTTTTTGAAATCTTAAAGAAAGGTGAGATATTGTTAGCAAGAATGTATTAGAGGATGATAATTTCAAAGTTTATTTTATTAAATTAGTTGTAATAAAAAATTTTGGCAAGTTATGAGAATACTCAAAATACAAATATTCTTTTTTTATAAGCTCCCTCAGGTTAAAATATAGTTTTAAATATTCATACAGACCAGCTAGTAATCAATTCCTTTATTATCGTTCTCCAATGCTTTGTTAGCTGAGTCTCAATTCTCTCTGTTCTCTCCCTCTCTCCCTGTTTTCTTTCTCATCGCCCTCCTCCCTCTGTCCCTCCCCTCTTTTCACTTTCTATTTGTCTTTCTTAGCATAAGAGAGTGCAAACATTTTAGATGTGATATGCAATTCATAGTTGTGATTAATACTAACAATCTATTAAATGGTACAATTTTTGTCAATGTATCTGTGCAAATACATAATAAATAATTAAAATGCTCAATTACTCACTTGAGATTGGAAATTCATAAATTGTCCTTTGAGCACAAAATTAGTTATCACGTTTGAAAAATACACTTCAGCAATTGACTATTGCATTCAACTAAAATTATGTTTTAAAAGGGGCAGATTAAAAAGGCTATCTACTTTAAAAACATAAAATCATTTGTAGAAATATTAATCAAGTAAATAAAAGTAAATGATTCCCAGTGATCCCTCAAAAATTGAATGTATGAAGATGATTAGTATCAGCCACAGGTAATGGCATATGAACAGGCCATGAACAGTGGATCTGGGCTGTGCTCTTAATCCTTAGGAGAAAATTTTATAATCGAATCCACCCTCACTCTCTATGGTTTAGTCATTGTTCATGTATCTCTTGTTTAGTTCTGACTCTGATATCGGTAAATAGGAATTATGTGTTGAATAATTTAATTTATATGTCTATGTCACATAGTCAAAAATAAAATATGCCTAATTGAAGGTGAATGTGTTGAGAACTATTTACCAAACTGGTAATTCTGTGCAACTTGTTCATACTGAAAATTACATAAATAAATATTCTGAAGAATAAGTCTCAGAAAAAAAAAGTATAAAATAAAACACGATGCCCCCCGAAATGATTTCTTCAAAAGAAAACAAGCAAAAAAGTTTAACTCCATACAGATGGAATTCAATTAATGACAACAACAAACTAGATTAAGAGATAAGTCTTTGTATATAAGTTTTTATGCAAGTGTTTCTTTACAACTGTGGTTCCCTCAAATGCTAGCTGAAAGTGAGTACCTATGACATTTCCTTTTCCAGGCAAACTGAATGTATTTTGCAAACTGAATGTATTTTGCAAACTGAATGTATTTTACAACTTTTTATAAAACTTCAAATACGATTTCTCATTTTTATAAAATGGTATGATGTTTTATTTGTTTTAGAGGCTATTGCTATGGCAATAATCATATTCTACAAACATACCACATAGGAGATACAGAAGGTTTACAAACAGTAAGTTTCAGGCAATCTTTCTAAAAAATTGTTTTCAGGAACATTATTCACAGTATCCTAAGTTGTGCCTTGCCAACCTATCCAGCGTGATCTGGATCTTTTTCTCTGGCTCCCACCAGGCACATTCATGCGATGCTCCAGGCAATTTTAACAATCCTCCCTCCTTACCATTTCTAAAATAGAACAAGTTCCCTGCCCTCCCTACCCAAGAGCTCTACTCACAACCACATTCCCAGTTCTTTGAACATCTGGAAAATACACAGTCAACCACACTCCCAGTTCTTTGAACATCTGGAAAATACACAGTCAGTCTCTTATCTTTATCACTTATAGAGCATTCCATTACTGCACAGTCATATACTGCTACTAAACGTTTGTTCTGCCTCTCAACTAGCTTGAAAATCTTCAAGCAAAGAACCATGGCTTTTATATATATATTATTTTTCTTTGTCTTCAGACATATAAGAGTATAATGAATGTTAAAAACACCTTTAAACCATCACCAGCAGAAATGTTATCACAAATGCTACTGAAGCCTTCCCTCTCCTTTTATCCATCCACAATCACATTGCCCTGCTCTCTGAGGAAATAATTGTCTTGAATTTGGTGTTTGTCATTTACATACATATACTTACACATTTGCTATACAAATATATGTGTTTTATGGCACGTTTTTAACATTTACAGAAATGGTACCATACTGTGTATATTTTTCTGACACTCACTTTTTCAGTTACATAGTTGAGATTAATTCATCTAGTACTTTATTTCATTTTCACTGCTACATAGCATTATTTTATAAGAATATTTCACAATACTCATTTTTTTCTCCTTACTCCTATATATTTTCCTATTTTCAATTTGTCACTATTGTAAGCAGTACTACTATAAAAATTCTTATACAATGCTTTTAATACAAAGATGTAAGAGTTAGTCTAGACCAGAGGTCAGCAAACTTTTCCATAAAGAGCCACTTAGTAAACAATTTAGGCTTTGCAGACCATATGGTAAGTATCCCAACTATTCAACTCTGCTATTGTGAGAAAGATCCCACAGGCAATACATAAATGAGTGAGAGTGGTATGTTCCAAATCTTTTCACAAGAATAGGCAGCTGACAGAATTTGGTCCACTGCTTGAGAGTAAGTTGGTAAAATGGAATTACTTGGATGTATTGTATGTGCATTTTTAAAATAACAAGATATTGTCAAATTGAAATCCTAGGAGGTATGTATATTTACATCCCCTCTAGCAGTGTATAAATTTTCTTGTTTCTCTACAAGTTGGTACAGATAGGGTATATCATCTTAACATTATGATTGCTATGCAATGTTTCATAGTATTACTATCTGAATTTTTGTTAAATAGTGAAATTTAACACATTTTCATGTTTATTAAACAGTCTAGTTTTCTCTTATGGATTACCTGTGTTTTCATTTATTCAGTTTCCTTTAGGTTAACTTTGTCTTATTGAGTTATAGAAATTCTTTATATTTCTATATGTGAATATTTTTCAAATATATACTCAGTAATTATTCTAATAAAGATCATAAAGACACAATATATCATAAATATATCCCTGTATGTTTCATCTAAAATATAAATTAAACATTTAGGTCCTGTAATTATTTTGTATCATATGAGATAAAGATCCATCTTTTTTTTCTAAAGGAGAAAACAACTTTATAGTATCATTTATTGACTGGTTCATCTTTCCCCACAGATCTGCAATGGCATTTCTGTTATGTATCTAGTGTCAATATAGGTATAAATCTATTTCTAAGATTTCTCTTCATTTCTATTATCTGTCTATCCCTGCACCAGTTCCAAAATTATGATTACAATAGCTATATGATAATTATAATTAATAGTATTTTCATCATTCTTCAGTCAAAGACATTTTATAATTTCCAGTATTAGGTTTCTTATTCTTTATGTAGGAGATATTGCGAAGTGTGCTTTTATGTTTTCAAATGTATCAGGTTTTTGTATTTATATTTTTGTCAATGATGTTTAATTTTACTGCATTTATAATAAGTGAATATATTCTGAAGATACCAATCATTTCCAATTTATTGAAAATATCTTGAGTTATTTTTTTGTGGAATCTAACCATCTCCATCTTTTAATGATAATTCAGTTTGTTTATATTTAATGTGATTACTAATATATTGGAAATATAAAAGACTGTTGTGAATGAATAGAGTTTGAGAGCATCTAAAACTTCACTTTATCACATGAGTCCAGTGAAAGTCTCATGGGTCTAATACCAGGGAGGCTGATTGGTTATAACTTAGGAAAAATAACTGTAAGAGAAATTAACTGAAGAGAAAGCCTGTGAGCAGAAGCAAGATAATCAGCTTAGAGCAATAGTTTAAAAAGTGGGGTGTACACATCCATTTGCATGTAAGAAGAGAATATAGAATCTTTATTTTTATATGGAATTATTATCTAAACATAAGAAGTAGGTGAAGCTTTGCTAATAGATAATATGTGAAATGATATTGATATTCTCACCATGTCCATAAGTAGATGATGATCGTGTATATAAGGCATTCTATTGGGAAAGGAGCCTCAACAGGAAATGGTCAAATGATGCCTCACTCATTCATTTTCGGTGTACTGTGATTTGTACTTAGGCAAATTTGTAAATTATAATATCCAGTTTTGATTAAACACACTTATGAAAATAGACAAATTGCTTCAAAAAATCATTGCTAAATGACACTATGAATTGGGGAAAACCCTGATAACCACACAAGCACAAGTGGACAACAAGGAAAAGAGATATCTCTTCTATGAGCCTAATATGTGCTCTTCAGTAGCCACATAAAGAATGATGAACTAATCAACTCTAAAACAAGATCTGCAAAAGAAAATTTATAATTATCAATGAGGCTGTTTAAAATATGGGCTTACACTCATTGTTTTTAATAAGGAGCTTTATCTTAAGCAAATGTTGTACCTTGGAATACTGGTTAATGATAGCATAAGGCCATTGCTAATAATTTTTTTTCTTTTTTTTTTTTTAAACTAAGCATCTAGAACATGAAGACAAATATATAAAATTATT